AGCAACAAAGAATTTACCATGAACAAAGATAAACAAACAATTTGAGCCATTTTCATGTTACACAAAGTACAGTCACAATGTGTGCATGATATGATGTCTCCGCTTACCTTAGCGCTACAAATTTGGCCAATTTTTCCCCTTGACGTGAAATATATAGAATGAATTTTCATCAGTAGGTGAATATAGGTAACTGTTATAAAATAATCCATCAGCGTATCTTAAAGGAATGTTTTAACCATTTAAACATGCCGCTTTACTGGAATTTTTCAAGATCCAGACGCCTTTTTTTTCAAGTTTCTGTTAAGTGTTCTCATGACCTGACATGAATAATTCAATGCAAGGCTAAACTAAGTTGCTGAGTGGCTCCCCTGGAAAGTTCGGGGAAAAATAATAAAAAGCGTAAGTACTGCCCTATCACTGGACCTGTAAGTGCCTATTTCAGATGATTCACGTTCAGTTGTAAAACACTGTGTTTGCTTTCATAAGCTCCATTTCCTTAGTTTCAGATATATTTATTTTCAGCTTACCCATGAAGTACTCATTAGGGTATAAGCCAGGAGGCTTAGGGGAAGGATAACTAGATGGATCGGACGAATGGTGGTACTCATCTTGACCATTGGGAGAGTAAACCTGAGAGTCAAATACAACACAATGCAAACTTAAAGGTTAGTGCGTGAATGCAGCCAAACATGACAAACATTTACAACAATTTATTAAAACACCTACTGCTGTCAGGAAAAAATTTCAACTGCTTAGTAACACATGAATTTGTACCTTACATATACATGTTAAGTTTTGAAAAACTTACTTGTTCAACATAAAACATATCCATTTGGAATCTCCATTTTACAGTGCAAATGTGAAGTGATCTTCAGCTTGATGCATATATGCAAACATGTAAGCCATTGCCAAATTTTGTGATATGTGTAACACTGCAGATTTCCAGTGCAGTTACATCAGGAAATTACAATGGTTTAGAATGCCATTCCAGAGTCATGCCAACCAGATGGCACTAGAACTAGCTGGAGTCAACCTGAATAAATGGTTGCTTCAGAAAGATGACCTGCATGTAGTATTAACTCTCTTTCCATTCTAATTTAAAGACTTGCAATTTCATGTGCAGTTAAATTCAGAGCTTTAAAGTACTGGAAGGATTAAAGTTCTCCTTAAGTAAGATGCAGTTTTACTGAGTTTGTCACCAGACTGGAGATATGTCTGAAATCAAGATGTTTCCTGTGCTTTATGAGTGACTGCATTGGTCTTTCTTTTTTTCCCTTAACATCATGCAGTTAGTACCTCTTACTTGAAATGTACTTGAAATGCACTTTAAATCTTGTGAATAATTTGGTTTTGTTTCTTAATTTCAGGAGCTAAAATCCAAAAAACCCTGTGGACTATGATTAGATAAAGTTTATCATGTTGCCTTTATACTACAGAGATCAAGACTAAATTATTGACAAATTAAAAAAAATCCTACACTGTAAAATTGTTGGATGTGACATTGTGACAACCACAAACTGCATAAACACAGGAAACAACTGAAAGACAGGTTGTCAAGAAATGCGCAGTACAAAGATTCTATTAAGCCCTGTTAATCTTAGGTCCTCATGTGTGCTGTGATTTGTATAAATAAGAGAAATCTAGTGACGAATTTGAACTACTGGTTTCCGGATGTGAACGAGTTGTAATCCAGTAAATCAACGGCATGATAATGGGGTCCCATCTGGCAAAACAAGGACACACAGTATTGAAGAGGATCTAGCTTCATCAGCTTCTAATTCAATGGTATTACAATGAGATGAAGTGATTACATTGTTGTCCAAACTATTCAGTGTATGCATGAATGGAATTGCAATGCAATCTACTTAATAGTATCAAAAATTAATTGTAAACAAGCTACAAATTCAAACAATACGTAGAGGGTAAAGCGCACAAAAAATACTATAATTAGTCTATAAAATACTAGGTAAAAGTAATGTCCCACACTTCCTCACTAGAAGACAATAGACTGTCATTATTAAAGACAGAACGCAACATATTCTAATTTGACTCCTAGAGGATTTAAATCTACAACAGACTGAGGTTGTAATAATCAATTCTAGGATGGGACACTCTGTGAAAGGCAGAGTGGAATAAGTGAGGAGGACTTTGGTGGTGTTAAACTGCCATTTAGCATCACAGAGGATTGGCCTCTCAATCCAGTAACTGATTGTTCTGCATTCTCTTTTCTCCTCATTGTTGTTTTTTTTTGAAACATTAAAAAGCTTAATAAATTTCCTTGAAGTGTGCAGCATTAGGGATTTTGGGTAATCTGAAAATTATTTTCTTGAAAGAACCACATGAAGAGCAGAATTTCTGACATGTGAAATCTTGATGTCACGGATAATGGGACAGTACAGATGATTTTCAGATTACGCTGACGTGTGAACAACATTGAATATGGGTAAAATTTAAGCGCTCACACAAAGTGATTAAATAATTCTTCAAAACAGTTAATTGAAATTATAATATAGAGTAGTGTGTGTAGAGGTTTCCTATTGGTAAAGAAGTTATAAATTACAACATTTTATTATGAGGTCAAAAACATTCTGATGCTTCGATAACAATCAGAGTAAAGCATACACATTATTTTGCAGAGTGAATTTCTGGGCACTCCCAGTTACATTGAAGTTTCTAATATTAATTTATTACTTACTGTTAGCCCTCCTGCGGGACCTTTCCTTCGTTTATGTGGCCCTGAAAATTACAAAGATTACAAAAACTTCAATATTTGACACAACTTTCATTCGAAAAATCAAAAGCATCCTTCTATTGATGTGCTGAAATACTAAAAAACAGTTTATAGTATAAATTGATTTAAAACTGGAAAGACAGTGAAATGTATTAGAGGGTATCAAATCTGTAACTTAAATTGGCATACACTATTAGGGGTATACTACCAGTACTGAGATTAGTAAACATCAGTGTGACTAGTTTTCTGTTATTGTAATTTTCAATGTTACACGTGTCATTTGTCCACTCTAACTAACCACATCCACTTTTATTTGGACAAAGCAGGTACATGTATATGACCAGAAAATGTCCAACATCTAACAATAATTTAGCATTGTGCCAGTTTTCCAACTACTCAGTAAGATGTGGTTAAATGTGTGAAAATAGGAAGCAGACAGAGTTGTGCTTTTGCTCTTAACAACTTCTTCACATTGGCAAATTACCTGCAAAAGTAGGATGTTCAGGCACAAGCGGTCTGCGTCTGGGGTGAGGACTATAATAATAAGGTGAACCAGGCTTTGTATGAGGTGAAAGTGAACTACCACTGGACATGTCACTAGTTAGAGCTGACATTCCAATCTGTTAACAAACAAAAGTAATATACATGTATTTAGAATCAAATATTGGCAATCCAACTGAATGTAAATTTATCATTAAACAAATAAAGTCTCAAGTCATACACTTACAGGTACAAGTACAATATGTGAATGTCACAAATTGTTTTCTTACAAATTACAGATGGTGGACTGATTGTAACTGAATCAAGTACATAACTGTTTTGATGTGTTCTGACTGCCTTTAATTGTGTGAGACAGAGTAGCAATTGAAGGGTTTCATTTCAAAATGATATATACGCCATTCAAAAATTGAGCAATGTTTCCACAATTATTGAATATTTAAAAACAAAAAGAGGGTACCAGGTCCCCTTAAATATTATTTTTCACTGTTCTGACTCACTTAGGGTTTTTTTGTTTTGTTTTTGGGGGGTTACTACTAAATAAACACACAGAAACTGGCTGGAGCCAGCCCAGAGGACCAAAATGGTGCTGATCTCATTCTGGAAATAAGCTCTTCTATTGTATATTTTGCTTTGTCTTCCTGTGGGAAATATGTTGGTACATATACATGTATGTCTTGTAATGATTTCCAAACTCACTGTCATAAGAAAATATTACCCCGAAATGAAATAGATATCAAATAATGACACTGTGAAGTGTATCTGCCAATCGCTGCATTTAAACTTCCTATGAAGAAACTTACATGAAAACGAGAAATTATCCTAGAAGTTAAAATACTGTTTTATGTTGAAAGTATGTTCTTAGAAAAATGCATTATGATGACATCTGAGAAATTCACAGCACAGTGCAAATCTCCATGACATAACTCAGAGCTGTGAAATTGTCCTGTTTTGACGAGTAAGTGTCTTGAAAAGAATGTTAAGACCAAGCATAACTGTTATGACATAATCATGTCATCATTTCTAGTGTAAACTCTAATGTAACCTGTACATGTGGGACAGTGTTGTATTCAAGTCAATCGCAAGTCCCTGCAAGTCCATCACAAGTCATTCCATCTTAACCCAATTCACAAGCTATTCAAATAAGCTGACAAAAAAGCATTCTTTTGTCATTGTTCACCCTGTTACTTGTGACGAGCCTTGTGCAGGGACTTGTGACTGGACTTGTGGATGGACTTGTGATGGACTCAAATACAACACCGATGTGGGCAAATTGGGTTTGCAAGAGTCAAATGTGAATGGACCCTAGGATATCTTGAGTACACACTACAGCCTCATAATTCTTCATCTAAACAAAAAACTTTTAAAAATTAGAAGTACAGCGATTTGACCTTCACAAATAATATGACAATCATTTCAGACAGTGTTTCACGCTACTCAGGTTAAATGACTTTGAGTAGTATTACTACATATTTATCAACACCTGGGACAGTTTAACCATTCCTATTGGCCGACAACGCGTCATGTGACTGTGTATTAACATTTGACAATGCCCATTATGATTTGATAATACCCACTACAGAAACGAGTATGTTTGCATTCATGTTACTTTAAATTTGTCATGTTTCTGCAGTAGCCATAAATACATTTCTATCTAAGAAACTCAGTGTTTCCCTGACACAAACGTACACGTCCCTTGGTACGGTACAATCTACGGTACAAGTATTCAGTCATTATTCTAGAGAGCATACTCTGTAGATAAATAAAAAGGAAACCTTTATCTAGTGTGGCTTATTTTTACACTAATATTATATTTATTTATGATTTACTTCATGCAATGTTACATTTAGAATAAATATTACTGATAAAGTAATTAAATCTTTGCTTTTTGATGAATGGCTCTGATCATGGATAGCAAATATAAAGCATGGTTGCAGAATGAAACTTATTTTTTTGCTTGTTTTTGAGATTTCTTTTACTAGTTTAACAAAAAGGTTTTACGAATTGGCATAAAAAAGTGGCAACTTGCGGTTTATAACCAGTCAAAGTCCTGGTTGCTGGAATGGCCTGAGCCACACTGGTTATAAACAAGTTAATACGCACTCCACAACACTTTTATTCCCCTTATTTACTAAACAGATGTACATGTACAAGCATTAAATTTGCACATACATGTACAATAAATTCTTCTACAATAATGGCTAATGACAATGACTACAAAATGCAATAAACTAAAAGACTCCTGTATGTGCTGTCTGTGTTTAAACACATAAAAACGCAAGGTTGGGTTGATTTGAAACATAATTTTCAAGTATTTGCATACATGTACACTTGTGAATGTATCCATGTACATGTCCATATCTGTAATTCAGATGCAGTCATGTTCAGTGTACTCTACAGAATTATACATTGGTTATAATTTGTTGAAGTGAACTGCATGAAACAAGCATGCATAGACATGCACTTTTCTACACACAAATGCACTAACGTACACTATGTATCTAATCCGTTGGGGTACATAAACAAGGCCAACTACTGGTCTAAAAAGTCCACAGTTAAAAACTCAACAAGCAAATAATATACACAAGCACTGAAAGGTACATGTACGGCTGAGTACAACTGACAATATACTGCACAATTCCCATGATTCAAGAAAGCGACATTAGAACTGTTTTCAAATGACAAAAATAAATGAGTGCCAATAACAACTCACCAAAGTCATGCAGTCTTCAACATTTACAAGGTTTTCTAAGAACAACATGTTTGAAAGATTCTACAGTACACGTGATAGAGTTCCTGATGCAGATAGATTTGGAATACACAAGGTACATTTGGAGATTGATGTAAATGTAGACTGTAGGACGAATAGGTGTGTATGACAATGCAGTCCGCATGAAAAAGTATCATCCGCGCTAGACCCACATAATATACAGTACACCACTCACACACAGTGAAACCTTCGTTGTACCAACTTGAAGGCAAAGTAAGCAGAGCCTGTTGTGTTTACAGTGAGCAGATCCCTTTGTGTGTTCAGTCAGCATGGTTTTACAATGGCACCATCCTCCACACTAGTCAGTGCATACATGTACATGCGCATTTGTCTAAGTCTAGCAGTGACCTGCAGTGCATGCAGTCATGCAGAGTGCAACTATACGAGTGTTCTTCAATGCAAATTCCTCTCATAAAATTTATCAAATTGAACAATATGATAAACACTGCTAAATGTGTGCAAGACTGCCAGATACTGTATGTATGAATTCCTAAGGCCTAGGCATTATTTTGCTTAAACTTGTAGAGTTTATACCTTATCAATTAGTTCCTACTAGTAAGTGCCGGTAAAACTAGAGGATTACTTTTGAAATTTTCAGATGCCATACTATCAGCAAAGATTCATCAGTTACAACAGCACAAGGAATATTTTCCCTTGACATAACAGGCATACATGTATATAGTATATACATGTACATATATGTGCACATAGATAAACAAATAATAATCTTCAAATTAAAACTACCACTACTTTGAGCAATCTTTGTGCTGTAACATAAAAGTGGCCACTACATTCATTAACTTAACTGTTCCAAAATTGAAGTGCATCCTGGGTACAACCAGGATGAAAAACATGAGCTTCAGACTTCGTCATGTAAAACCTCAACGTGTGAACAGGTATGCCTTATGCCATGATTTATCAGAATTTTCTCCCCTTTTCATTTATGCTGAAAAAGTGAAATGCCATTGAGATAATGATGTTCTTCAGGCAGTGTCAGAGGCCCAAGAGCCAATCACAATGCAGCCATCTGTTGCTGTGGCCTGCCTCCAATGAGATCCAACTCAATAGAGATGAAATTTGCTGGCTTTTGTTTGCTGTTATGTGACCATAGTAAAAAGAATACAGCAAGGTCAAATACTCAACCTATAATTCTGTGACTGGTTTATTCAAGATTAATGACTAGATAGCAGGTAAAATACATGTATTTGCTTTAACTCTCCTTTTAGGGTACAGTACCATAAAAAAGTTGCAGCTACATGAATGAGCAAATACTTTATACTTAGTGAAACGTGAGTTAACATGCTTCTCATGATTTAAAGTAGTTTTGTTTAACAACTCACACACTGTCCTGTTTGGTTATATTCGTCGTTCAAACAGCTGTCAGTATTGTTGGCATACCTGCACTGTTAACACACTCAACATGCCCCTCTATGTTGTAGTTTTAACCCTTAAAAAGTTGGGGTTTTTACAAAGTTGGGATTCTGTGCAGGATTCTAGAATTCATAGATTGGACCAATCACAGTTTAGAGTTTTGACCCATCACAGCCAAGAGTGTAAGCCAATCACAGCCAAGTGTTTTGGCCAATCAAGCGAAGGGTTAAGGCACCAATCATATGTAATGCGGGGTGGGATGTACCGGTACATTGTGTAGGTCATTCTGTTACAGCAAATAATGCACGCTGGTTCAATTGGCCTGCCACCACCCCAGCTCCTGCCTTCTCTTGCAGGTTTCATTAAGAAGTGGTGTTTTCTAATAGGATTCAGAGACAGCCATCTCCTAAAACATGTACATACATAATTTGATATTATCACTGGCTAGTCAGTTGCAAAAAGGCATTCTTTTTGTCAAGATTTTTTTCTTCATTCTTGTCACTGTTCTTCACGGAAAATCCTGTTCCTTTTGCACACAGTTTTAAGCACGCCACTTTAGTCCCTTTGCAATTTTGGATCTTCATCAAAAGTTTGCCACAAACAAAAACCATGTAGCAAAGGTGTGCCTCAAAGCATGACATCACTGTGACGTCATCATGTGATTTATTATGTACCGGTAGATTTGAATATTTATTTTGCCGCATTCATTTTGTACACACATTTCAAGGGTCATTTTGGTCACTTGGCAGTGATTTGTCTTCATCAAAGTTACACCACAGGAAAACCAGAGTGCACTGGTGTTTTTTTTTAGTAAAGTGACGTCATGATAGCGTTTCTTTAATGTGATCTTTTGATTTATTATTGAATTTTGAACATTTAATTTTTTCCTATTGACTATGTACAGAGTTTCAAGAGGCCTTTTTGTTCAATTAGCAATCTTGGATCTTACCCACAGTTACACCAAAGAATGACCTTAAGGAA